CTTTCTAAATTGTATTAGACAAATGCTTTGGTTGCTATGGACAATGTGAATGCTATCGACATGGAAGCATCTTTGTGGAACCGAGCACTTAGTCATATTAGTGAAAAGGGGTTGAATATTTTGGCCAAAAAAGATGTTCTTCCTGGATTAAAAAATGTAGATTTGGAGAAGTGTTCTCATTGCATGGCTGGTAAACAGACTAGAGTATCTTTCAAGAGACATCCTCCATCAAAGAAGTCAAAGTTACTTTAATTGGTACATTATGATGTTTGTGGTCCATTAAAGGTAAAATCCTTTAGTGGTGCACTTTATTTTGTTACCTTTATTGATGATTGCTTCAGGAAACTACCGGTTTATGCCTTGAAGAAAAAAGACAAACTTTTGGAAAACTTCAAAGAATTCCATGCTTTGGTTGAGAAGTAGACAGGAAAGAAGCTGAAATGTGTTCGTTCAGACAATGGTGGATAGTATTGTGGACCATTTGATTCCTATTGCAAGTAACATGGTATTGCGCATGAAAAAACTCCTCTTAAAACTCCTCAATTGAATGGTTTAGCAGAGAGGATGAATTGAACACTAATTGAGAGAGTAAGGTGTATGCTCTCTGAAGATAAGTTGCCCAATCATTATTGGGGTGAGGCAGTTTACACGGCAGTGCATGTTCTTAATCTCACTCCTACTGTTGCTTTGAACAGTGAAGTTCCAGACAAAATTTGGTTTGGAAAGAATCTCAAGTATAATCATTTGAGAGTATTTGGTTGTAAGGCTTTTGTGCATATTTCAAAGGATGAAAGATCCAATTTGGATGCAAAGTCAAAACAATGTATCTCCATTAGCTATGGGCAAGATGAGTTTGGCTACAGGTTGTATGATCTCATAGGGAAGAAGCTTATTCGAAGCTGCGATGTGGTGTTTATGAAACACCACACTATTGAAGATATTGATAAGGTAGAAAAGGCTACACCCAAGAAAGATATAAGTTTGTCTAATGTTGATCCAGTTCGGTTACCTAGTCATAACCTAGATGCTATTAGTGGTGATGATCACAATGGTGAGCCATATGATTATATTGATGATCTACAACTTAGAGATAAGGTAAATATTCAAACTAATGATGGTGAAGGGGAGAGCGATTTATCACAGGATGAGAATCTTGGTGAAACTCCAAAATCTTCTCAAGTTAAACCTAGGAGGTCTAATAGGTAGAGACAACCTTCTACAAGGTATAATTCTTATGAGTATGTGACTTTGACTGATGAGGGTGAACCTTTGTGTTTTCAAGAGGCCACGGAAACTGATGAAAATAAAAAAGTGGATGGATGCAATGCATGATGAGATGAAACCTTTGCATGATAATCACACTTATGATCTAGTGAAGTTGCCTAAAGGAAAAAGGGCTTTGGAAAACAGATGGATTTATAGAGTTAGACATGAGAGCAACTCTAAGTCTCCAAGATATAAAGCCAGATTAGTGGTGAAAGGTTTCCGTCAAAGAAAGGGTGTTGATTTTATTGATATTTTCTTACTTGTTATAAAGATGTCATCAATTTGAACCGGGTTGAGTTTGGCTTCTACTCTTGATTTAGAGGTTGAGCAAATGGATATGAAAACAACTTTTCTTTATGGCGATTTGAAGGAAGAGATCTACATGAAACAACCTGATGGTTTTCAAGTTAAAGGTAAAGAAGAACATGTGCGTAGATTGAGAAAGAGTTTATATGGGTTGAAGTAAGCTCCAAGGCAGTGGTACAAGAAGTTTGAGTCTGTTATGTGTGATCAAGGATACCAGAAGACTACTTCAGACCATTGCGTCTTTGTTAGAAAATTTTCTAACGATGACTTTATAATCCTGTTGTTATATGTTGATGATATGCTTATTGTAGAGAAAAGTATTTCTAACATTAACATGTTAAATAAGCAATTGAGAGATTCATTTTCCATGAAATACATGGGAGCGGCTAAACAGATTCTTGAAATTAGAATCATGCGTGACAAAAAAGAGAAGAAACTTTGGATGTCACAAGAAAATTATATCGAAAGAGTGCTGCAAAGGTTCAATATGAAAAGTTCTAAGGTGGTAAGCGCTCATCTCGCTACTCATTTCAAGTTGAGTTTTAATCAAAGTATTTCAAGTAAAGATGAAGCATTTGATATGAAACGTGTTCTTTATGCGTCTGTTATGGGTAGTTTGATGTATGCAATGGTGTACACAAGACCAAATATAGCCCATGTTGTTCGTACAGTCAGTAGATTTTTGTCAAATCCAAGTATAAAGCATTGGAATGCTGTAAAATGGATTTTAAGGTATCTTCGTGGTAGTAGATCTATGAGGCTTTATTTTGGAGGAAATAAGCCTACTCTAGTGGGGTACTCTGACTCTGATATAGCTGGAGACATTGATTCCAGAAAGTCAACTTTGGGCTACATGATTAAATTTGCAGGGGGAGCTATTGCTTGGTAGTCCAGATTGCAAAAGTGTGTAGCACTATCTACTATAGAGGATGAGTTCATTGCAATTATTGAAGCATGCAAAGAGTTATTATGGTGGAATTAAGTTTTGCAGGAGCTTGGTTTTGTTTAAGACAAATATGTGTTATTTGTTGATAGTCAAAGTGCTATTCATTTTGGTAAGAATCCGACTTTTTATAATAGGTCCAAACACATTGACATGAGATATCATTGGATATGTGATGTTTTTGATTCTAAGGTGTTAGAGTTAGATAAAGTTCATACAGATGATAATGGTTCTGATATGATGACTAAAGCATTACCAATATGAAAATTTGAAGCATGTTGTGATATCGTCGATTTGACGATTTCCTCCACATAGTTGCCAGGGGGATATTTGTTGGGTTTGGGGTCCCTTCCTATGTGGAGAAATGCCCAAATATGATTAGTCCATTTGTCTCACTTATTTAAGTGGAGAGGATCAATTTAGGGTTTAGAGACATAGAGAATAAATAAGGATTCAAAAGAGAGAAAAGAGGAGAGAAAGTCATTCTCATTTTTCTGCAACCAGTCTCACTAAATCGAAGATCCCTGATTCGTTAACCATTGGATCAAGCTCAAATTTGGTAGGAAGGTTCGTAACACATATATCTAACTTTTGACTGTTCCGAATTTCAATACAACGTCTGAGATGAAAGTTATTTGCTTCGCACTGAAGCTGCAATTTTGGGAAAAAATTTCAGCTTTTGATTCTTATTTGTAAGCTAGTTTGCTTTGTGGTTTGCAGTTGTTTGTACTAGTTTTTGAATCACTTTAAAACTCTCTTGTACCTTAATTGATTATAGTTATTTCTTTGGTCTGGATGACTCATGGTTTTTACTCTCATATTGAGGGGTTTTCCACGTTAAAAGTATCAGTGTTCTTTTGTGCCTTTATTTGTTCAATTTTCTGTCTTATATTTGTTTTTGGTCCTCAAGATTCCTACAATTTTGGTGAAGTTTTATATCCGCCGCGTATTGGTCTATTATTCTATCTTAATTTCCCATCACATTTGGTGTCGATTTTTAACTGATTGTTTTGGTAGTCACTGATGTTGATTTTGGTACTTTTATTGATGTTTTGGCATTGATTCAAACCTTTCCCCTGATTGTCGCTCCACTTGAATTTAGAGTGGTCTCTTCATGAAAGAGTATATAAGCTCGAGAAGAGATTGTTCCTTTTGTAATTTTCGATGTAATTGGCTTCAAATTCAAGGAAGAATTCAGAGTTGCACTAGTCACTCACATGACAACTACCAAACTAATCGTACATCAGGGTCTGATGTACTTGTTTTTTCTTAAGCTTTCCATTTAAGATTGTGTTAGTTTTTTGACCAGAGTGTCCAATTGAGCTTGTAGAAACGTAATTGTAGCCTGGCTTTACTACCTAGGCAGAAAATGGTGGTCAGGTGCAAGTTGTTGCAAGTTCCTAGATCAAGGTTTAAGAATTGAATGGATTTGATTATTTTTGTTGAATAAGGATTCAAACTTTAAAGCAAGGAACAAGGTGACATCATCATTGGTTTTAAAGTCAAGGTGGAGATTTGGGAAAAAATTTCTTGAAAACCTCATATTAATGTTTGCGAGAATGCGCTAGATTTGGGAGACAAGAAATGCGTTCAAGAAATTAAGTGCGTTCACGAGTGTTTCCAAAAATGCAACGCGTTTCAGGGAAACAACTTGCCCCCTTCTTAAACACCTTGAAAATGTTCTTTTCAACCATTTTCTTGGTACAAAAGACATACAAGATTCATTTAGGTTCAGTCCTAATGATAGAAATTTGGAGAAGCAGCTGGAGGAATTCTTAGGTTTCAAGGCTAATAATTGGAAGACGTTTCATGGTATTTAAAGGGATTGAGAAATACTTGTAAACATCTTGGATTTGTGTGATTCATATAATGAAAATAGGAAATTTTGAGAAACACTCGGCCATAAAGTATGAGATGTTGTTAGAAATTTGAAAAGTTGTTTTCTTGCAACTCTTTTGTATTCTCTTGTAACAAATATCTAAGTATAGTGAATTGGAGATCTGCTCTCTCCCAAATAGTATGTCGATTTGATCGAATTAAGTAAACATATTCTTTATGTACTCGTCAATTTATTTTCTTCTTTTTTCTTGCTCCTGCGAAATTGCTTATATTGTTTAATAGGATGATTAATTTTTTGAAGCCATTTATATTAGTAGTTACTGTTTTTTGTTTCACACATCAATATTCTTGATTTGATTGATATTATCATATTTTACAATAAAAAAAGTTTTGATGTGGTTCAACCTTTAAATTTTACAAAATTATGAGAATAATAAAATATTCTCTTGAATTTGCATTTGAAAAAAAAAAGAAGGAAAAGAGACATCCAAGTCACAAATAATTAACTTACAATCTTTGAATGACTTCACCGTAAAGGAGTTATTTCTCATCTCACTTGAATGAAAAATTCAAGTCCACTAGCAATCTGTAGTATGTTTCAAAGCACTCCTAGATACTATGTGAAATTTGGATAAGCATTGGCTCCTTAACAAGTTCCAACCGTCAATACCATCTCTTTTGGAACATTTTCTTCATTTTTCAAAACCACTCTTTGTTTTTGTATGTAGAACCATTTTTCTTGAAAAAGGTAGAAAAACACAATCAACGATATCTGAATTGTGAAAAGTAAATTCCAAGTTCTTATGCCTTTTGATGTTTTTTCATGGTATGCTGCTAATCCAATATATACATTCAGAACACCCAAGAATGTGACTGCAGTTCCAAGTATCCAGTGTGCAAAAAACCAAACACTTCTTCTTTTGGATCCCCTATGAACAACAAGAAAATAAAATTATGAAGTGGTTTTCAAGAAAAGAGGAGCTAATGGTCTGAAGTTCTGCTGAAAGATTAAACGATTACTGGTGATCTATGAAACACAAATACCTAAAATACGACACCGATGTTGATACATAAGCATAGACAATAATTTGAAAAAATAATAAATTAAACGTAAGCATAAGTGTTGGTGTCGCTTTCGAACACCAACACTATCTTAGACATATTTTTTTTCCAGAAGTATTGGTGCTATATATAACTGGTGATTGTTCAAACAAACAAAAGCAAGTGCACATTTTCGGAAAAAAAGAGGACTCAAGTGTCTTACCTTTGGGGTCTAAAGATACCAAGTGGTATTTGTAGCCATATAATACCATAAAGTGCGACCCCTAATCTTTGATGATTATTGTTGAAGAGGTTGTTGAAGTTTTTTATAGACATGATTGCTCCTGTTGTGGCGACAAGTACAGCAATGATCTGTTGAACACAAACTCAATTATATATACATCACATTAACAAAGAAAATATCATCAATGAAATTAAAATTTTCAATGTTATGCTATTTTTTTCTAATGGCCCTCCAATTTGCTGAATAACAAAACCAGCAACATAAATCCAAATATCTCATAAATCCAACTTCCGGGGACTTTTAAGGGAGACATGAATCCCTAATCAAAAGAATAAAGAGTATTCACTTAATTCATACTAAATTATATGATATTTTGATTATTTCATATATCGTTAGAAATATAGTTAATCTAATATAAAAAAAAAATACAATAGAATTTATAAAATTATCCTTTATATTGATAATATTATAAACAAAATTTACATAATTAGAAGAAAAGTGAGTAATAAACTAGTAATTATATGAAGCATTAATATTTTATTAAAATTGTAAGCAACTTATAAAATGTTTTTCTTGTTTTCAAAGGATCCATCATAGTCCTTTTTCAAAAAGGAGGCAATCAGCGTTGCATGATCTTATCAGTAATTAATAAGCTTTATGATAAATTAACCAAAAATAAGGATATCTTGCTAATCTAATGATTTTCTCTAACTTCATTTCATGCCATCATTAAAACTTACAAATCTGACAAATGATTTTATTAAAGTATTTTCAAAATATTGACAAATCCAAATGGGCCAAGGCAACAATCTTTCATAACTTTCACCACTTAAAGGTTTAAAAATAGAGCCTAATTGATATGAACAGTTTAAAAATAGAATTTAATTGATATATATTAATAGAATAAAATAATTTTACACTATTATCTAATAAAATAATAATTTTATATTATTATCTAATAAAATAATTAAATATAAAATATTCACTGTAAACTTTTTTAAATTACTAGTAACTTTTTCAAATTAGTAATTTAACACTTAATTTCTAGTTATACAATCTACTCTATTAGAAAATAATAAATAATTAAATGCAATTCAATGTCAAGTAAAAGGAAAAAAAGTTATGAAGTAATCATTATATATATATATATATATATATATATATATATATATATATATATATATATATATATATATATATATATATATATATATATATATATATATATATATATATATATATATATATATATATATATATATATATATATAATGATTAATATTACAGAATAAAATATATAAATTAGATAGATCGATTATTCAATAAATCTTAAAAATAAAAAAAAATTCTTATAAATAAAATCAGTTTGAGAAATATATACATAAATTAGATATACTTGCCTGCAAAACTATATGAAGATAGAATAAAATTCTTAGCCGCCTTGGATTTTCTTCTCTGTTTGATAGTCTAATTGCAAGTATACCAACAGGCATCAAGAATCCCATTGAAGCCCAAAAAAGAAATCCATGTAATGTAACTTCAAATTGAAGTCTTGGACTCATCTTCATATATTAAAGAATCACAAAAAATTAAACAAAATTGAATAAAAAATTTATTATTAATTAAATTGACATTAATGACCATTTTACCAGGCTAAATAATAGTATAAAACTCGTAAGATTGAAGATTAAGAGAAGAAGAATATGCAACAAAAATGAGATATAGATACCTTAATGTGGTTGTCTTTAATTTTGTGGTGAGGTTGTGAAGAACTAACAATGGGAAATAAGAGCAAAACAATACATGTTTGAAAGAGGAAAGAAGTGAACTTTTTTTGATGGATTCTCATTGAATATTCCATTTTCACTTTTCTAAAAATTTGGAACTTTAGAAAGAAAAAAAGAGCATTTCAAGAACTCAATATGGTGCCACATAAAAGCACTCTTAAAAGTTCTTATGATTCTCTTTTTCTCTCTCTTTTGGTATTTGAGTGTGAGAGAATGCTGAGAAGTGAGCACTCTTATCTTTATTGTCAGAGAGAGCAATAAAAGAGTTGTCACATGTTTAAGAGTAAGTTGATGTTAGAATTTAGTTTACCCTTCCTAGTCCTAATTAAGTATCAATATTTCAAAAGTAAATAGTATTTTTGTCTTTAGATATGTTAAACAATACTCTTTGAATTTACAAAAATTAAAAGACATTACAAGAAAAAATACTAACCTAACAAAAAATGTGAGTGCACAAAATGAGATTTCAAACTTGTGGGGTTAACTTTGACAGGCTTTTTGTGATAATGGACAAGAATGTGGACTTGCAGAGATAAAGTGCGTGAAATTTCAATGTGGTGATGGTGGAGGGTTAAAATGCATATATAAAAAGACAAAGTGAGTTGTGTGGTAGATTTTGTAAGATAAACAGTATTTTATGCTTCCCACTGCTGAACATACATTATTACATCGTCCTTCAATTATTCAGATTTTGGAGCCATTGATATATCACATGTTTTTTTAGCTAGTCAAGTTAATATATATTATCATAATATCATACATGATAATATAAATAATAACAGGATGATACATTTTTCTTATTTTTTAATATTTAGTATATCTAAAAATTTAAAACAGCATCCTTCACAGTATCACATAATTTCTTTTACAGATAAATGTCATTTTAAAATTTTACATTTTATATTTATATATTTATATATAAATTCTCTTTTTGCTTTTTATTTTTATCATCTTTTTCTTTTGACTTTTTTTTTTATCTAAAATGCAGTTTTAGCCTCCCTTCTTACAATTTTTTTTTTTTAATTTTAACTCCCTTAATAAAACAGATTTTTAGTCCCTTGTCATGAATATTCATGAGTTTTTTTATCCCTTAATCAAATTTGACTATGTGGCATATATACCCTGTATAATATATATTTAGAATAATACCATACAAGTGAATCTAAATATGTCCTTATTCTTATTTCCCCTTTAATATTCTTATATCAAATATTATTATGAATCTAAATTATATAAATAAATTATTTAAATCTAAATAATTTTAATAATCGACTCTCTCACAACAATGCTTCATCACACATCATCACACATCACATATTCCTCAATAAATCATAAACAATTCACTTAGATAAATAATTCTAAATTTTTAGGGTGTTACAACTCTCCCCTACTTAAAGAATTTTCCTCCCCGAAAATTACCTGAGGAAAACAGAGTCGGGTAAGACTCTCTCATCTGATCCTCGCACTCACAAGTTATACTTCCACCAGCTGGTCCACCTCACACTACCTTCACCAAGGCAATCTCTTTACCCTATAACTGCTTCACTTCCTGACCTTCTATCCGCACGAGTGATGCTTCAACTGTCAGGTTATCTCTCACTTGTACATCATCCATTTTGATCACATGTGAAGGATCTATAATGTATTTTCTCAATTGTTATACATGAAGCACATCATGAAGATTCGGAAGAGCGATGGCAAAAAAATCCGATAGGCGACTTCTCCCATCCTTTGCATAATCTGATACAGACCAACAAAGCACGGAGTGAGATTTATAGACTTCAAAGCTCGACCAACACCAATTATTGGTGTAACCCGCAAAAACACATGATCTCCCTCTTGGAACGCAAGTGCTTTCCTCCTCTTATCATGACAACTCTTCTAATGACTTTGCGAAGCTCTCATCTTATCTTGGATCATCTTGATCTTTTCAGTCGTCTCCTGTACAATCTCAGATTCGAGTCCAACAGTCTCTCCTGACTCATACCAACACAATGAAGTTCTACACCTCCTACCATACTGTCGCATCGCTGCGAAGAGGGGCCGGCAAGGACAGAAGAGTCGCCACCGTTCGTTATTTATCCCAAAAGAGAGAAAGGAAACGATCAGAGAAAACCTAACAAAAATGGGAGAAGACAGGTCATCGCAACCATATCCTGGGTTCAGAAGCCGGTTACGCAAGGGGAAGGTATTAGCACCCCTCACGTCCGTCGTACTCGACGGGATCCACGCTTTGTTGTCTATCTAAAAAGGTGTTTACTATCTAAGCTACGGCTCAGGGACAAAAGAAAAGAAAAAGAGACTCGATAGAGGATCGCCGCTCTATGCCTATGTATTCTGTAACGCCCCGATTCTGAATTTCCCATTTCTGTTGAGTCTTTTAATTTATTTTAATTGATTATTCTTTTAATTGTGGAATTTGAACATTAACATGTTATGTGTGCTTATTAGGTTATTTTATTATTCGGAGAGTTTTGGGGAAATTAATTAGAGGGTGTTTTAGATAATCCTTAATTAGTAGATATTTGAGAAAAATAGAATAGAAAGAGTATAAGTGGAATTAGAGAGAAAAGAAAAGAGATAGAAAGAAATAGAAAGGAAAGAAAAGAAGAGAAAAGAAGAGGAAGAGGAGAAAACCTAGAACCATCAAGAATCAAACTTCTAAGTTTCGATTAATCGGGTAAGGGTGTAAAACTTTATCATTCTTCGATGTGTATGATTATGTATGTTTCTATTGGTTTGCTTTTGGATTGGAGAGAGTTTTGCTCATTTTCCGTTTTAGGTTGAATTTGATTTAATCAATAGAACCCGAGTTTTAACGATTAAAAATGAGAATAAGTGGTAGAGTTTAGTCGAGGAATGTTGGACTAAGGCTGCTAAAATGAGGTGGGATTGAATCGGGTAGATTTCGATGAGTTTCGGAGTTTTGGATAGTGGGGAATTCTGAGTTCCCAGACCCTCGCTAGGCGAGCAGGTCGCGAGTATTCACTGTGGCGAGCCAGTAGCGAACAGTCCCATACTTGGGCAGAATCGTTTTGGTGTTCTTCGCTGGTAGCGAAGGGGGGTGGCGAGGATTCGCTAGGCCTTCGCTGAGCGAGTCTGGTAGCGAATCAAGTCAGTGGCTTCTGTTTTCCTTCGCGAGCTTGTTCGCTAGGAGAACAGGTAGCGAGCACTCGCTAGGAGCTCGCTAAGCGAGCAGGGTGGCGAGCGTAGCAGGATGTTATTTTCTTATGTTTTCACTTCCATGTCGATTCTTCGATTCAAGTATGATTAATCCTTTCTTATTGTGCATAATTGTATGTATTTGTATGATGTGAAGAATGCATGATTATAGATTTGTGTATATGTATGCATTTCAAGAGTGTATGAAGTTGTTTTGCATATGAAGCATCATGATTGCATTTTTGTGTGTCTGATCCCGCGTAGGATCTCCAGAAACCTCGTGTGCCCTTGTGGAGTGTGAGCTATGGTTTGTCTTTGATCCCTAGGAGGATCTGCAGAAACGATCGTGTGCCCTTGTGGGGTGTGAGCGATAGTTTATATTGATTCCGTGGAGAATCTGCAGAACGATTGTGTGCCCTTGTGGGGTGTGAGCAATCCTGAAACATCGTGTGCCCATGTGGGGTGTGATCGATGGGTGAACATCATAGGCCCGACGGGGAGTTACTTCCCTAACGAGCGATGGTTCCTTTTTGGTTCTTCAATTGAACCTGCTGAATGAATCGGTACCGCATTTGCATTTGCATAGAGTCGTGAGTCAGTCTCTATGAGTGCATTCTCATCTTCATATGATGTATTGGTGTAATGAACATAATTGTGTATGTTTATGTGAAGTGATGAATTAAACATAATTGTATATGCTTAGTGGTGAATGTTTGCATGGTGGATATCCTAGGTGAATTATATATGTGTTGCGATGTATATATGATTGAATTGTGATGAGTTAAGGTGAGAAATATGTTATGTGTATTCTGTGTTGGTGTGTATATATATATATATATATATATATATATATATATATATATATATATATATATATATATATATATATATATATATATATATATATATATATATATATATATATATATATATATATATATATATATATATATATATATATATATATATATATATATATATATATATATATATATATATATATATATATATATATATATATATATATATATATATATATATATATATATATATATATATATATATATATATATATATATATATATATATATATATATATATATATATATATATATATATATATATATATATATATATATATATATATATATATATATATATATATATATATATATATATATATATATATATATATATATATATATATATATATATATATATATATATATATATATATATATATATATATATATATATATATATATATATATATATATATATATATATATATATATATATATATATATATATATATATATATATATATATATATATATATATATATATATATATATATATATATATATATATATATATATATATATATATATATATATATATATATATATATATATATATATATATATATATATATATATATATATATATATATATATATATATATATATATATATATATATATATATATATATATATATATTATATGCATTGTTTGTTATGATAACGTTTCTCACCCTTCTGTTGTTTTATGATGCTCTATGAGGCATTGCAGAGTAGGTTTGCTGGAGGTCTTTTGTGAAGCGTGGCTTCGTTCTTTTTGGTCGGTTGGCTCTGATATATAGCACCGGATAGTTAGGAATTCTTTTGGTTCTTTTGTGATACATCTGTGTATGTATCTGCCGGAATGTTTTGTAAACATGATTTATGACTTGAATTAAACTGTTTTTGTATACAATGTTTATATGAATGAAGTGATTCAATGTTTAGATGTTTCCGCTTTTATTCTAAATATTAATGTGTGGGTTTTAAGGACTAAGTTCCTTTGTGGTGATTTACCCTTTGTTGCATATCTTTATGAGCAGGTGTTGTATGTGTTTTGAATCTCCCGGAT